AAAAAAAAAAAAAAAAAGGTCTGCTAGGTAGCCTTACCGACGAGTCCACTAGCAGGCCCAGGACGAAACGCTCCCTCTCCTTTCCTTTTCACATTTCCAGTCAACAGCTTGCCGCCAAAAGTGATAAATAAAACATATCTGTATTGATATATGTATGTATATTTAGTATTTTGTCTTGTAAACAGCAATAATAAGTAAAGGAAATATATTCCACCTTTATGTAGTCCATCAAAAAATTGTATCTATTCATTACACGATAAATTATGTTTCGAATAACTTAGATAATAATTTATAGATGTATAATATCTGAAGAATATATGTATGATTGATTAAAGTGCTCATGGAACGTCGTAAACATAGGTACAATCAGTACATTACGGAACTAATTAAGTAAAATTTGAAGTAGTATACATGTAAGTAAGAAATAGATAATGCTAACAAAGAAATAGAAAATATAACTACTAACAATAAGTTAATAATCATTTGTACAATACATATACAATACGTTATGAAACAATTAATTCGAATTATCTTTGTTTTGACTATGTAGTCTTGAAATTTGGTAGCACAACGAAAATTAATATCGTTTACAATACTTAATTCAGAATATTATTTCGCCATACAACCAATTTAAGTAATTTTACTATTGCATTCATTTACAAACGCATAAATTAAAAAATTCGCTCTATTTCCCTTCATTTCAACAAATATACGTTGCCAATATAAACATTTTCTAGTGAAAGTATCGTTTAATACTTTAAAAGAATTTAATTTGTGGCGACAATATTTTAATTATATAACTGATCAATTGTATTATAAGTTAATGTAACATTTTCAATCACACACTTCTTCGCTTTAAAATGAATGATTCCATAAAAAATTACATTAATTTTTAACAACAACAGTGCAATATTATTATTTTACTTCATTAACCCTTTAAATAATGTTAAAATACGTAGAAAAATGTGCAGCTTACAAATATTTAGCTCGCTTAAAAGCATTTGAATCTTTGAATTACCTAATCCGCTTTATCTAAAATCTAAAGAAATAAGCAAATCATTATGCAACAAAAAATTTTCATTGCCGAATACTGACTTATTTCACCAATGTAAAAATGCTGATTGCTATATGCGATAACTGAAACTATTTATTCTATTAACATATTTATTATTCGACTGAATATGAAAGGTATTCGTTATGAAGTTTAATGAATAAAAGGTCAGTCATTTATCTAACGTAAAACATATGCACAGTTATAACAATTATGAAAACTATGAAAATGATACAAACGTTTATTAGAAATATTTTTTATAAATATCTAATAATTATATGTGAATGTCAACATTAAAGGTATGTATATACTAACATATGCGATGGACTATATTCCATAATAAATTATTTACAAGTTATTACAAACAGTTTATAACAATTAAATTCTTCTACAATTTATAGTATATAAGTTTATGTGTACCGAAAAAATATATCGAATGTTGTCAAACATTGTAATATTCCTGGAAATTATCATAATCATGCGCATCTATCGCAATTCAGCCTTTACTACCGCCCGTTTCGCACGTCAGTGAATGGAACTCGGTTAACCAGCACGCCATTCCTGTTTTCCCAATCCAAAGATTTACCAGACTCCGGTTATGTTTGATGCACCATTATGGTTTCGATTACGGTAGGTTAGTTGCATCCGTAACGTCATGTGTCGTCACATGTCGTCATGTATAGTCAGAATACGTCACGGACCTTATCGTTGTATTTGTGTATATGTGTTCCGAAGGTTAAAATTGTTCCATCCCACTCCGATTCCTTGAGAGTCAGTAACCAATATGAGAGCTCTTTCTTACGTCAGTTTCAGATATGCGCTATCTGTACATGAATCTATTTGCACTAAATGAAGATAATGTGATTGTAATCTTCATATTTTCAAAGTAAGTGTATATCATATTATTTTGTAATACCTATTTAGCATTAAACCTATCTTTAAACTATTTAAAATATGTTAAATGTTATCGTAAGATTTATGCCCATGTGATTGACATGATTTTTAATAATAAATGGAAATAGAAATATCGGTATTTGTGTAGCAATACTCAATATTTGCACCGAAGACTGAATATGACTGCAGCTCGACTTGTAAATTAAAATGTATGTAAATATGTACATCAAACGATACGGGCATATGTTTATTGTTTCACTTTATTCGTGTAGAGTGTAAAGAATATAGAAATATTAATAACGGATATAGACGCACAAGAAGGAAGGTGTATAATACTTCTACTGGGGATTCTATGAGATTTGACAAATGATCGTAAAAAACTATTCACGAAAATTAGCGTACACTCATTGACGGCTGTACGGTACCGGTGTCTCACTACGAGTTTTTGTAGCGCATGATCATTTAAGTTGTGTTAAAAATGAAACAATCTATTTAATATGGATTAGTATAGTGCGTATTGAAAAGTCATACTGCCTACATGAACATATCCATCAATTTAGAATGAAGAATTATGGTGTCCTTAACCCTCTGAGTATTTGCGGGGCGGGATGGGTGGGGGGGTACTTTACGTCCACCATATTACTATGTTAAAAATTATCGCTAAAATAATTACTCAAAAGTTCTGAAAAAATTGGATATGCTACAAAAATATCTTTTTATACGAAAATATAAACATTATTTCATAAAAACTTTTTAAAAAGTCAAAAAAAGAATTAAAACAGCCTCTGATGCGTAAAGGAATGCCACAGCAAACGTAACTATACTATGTAGACAAGAATCCTGGGTGGTTGATATAACAGATATGTATATGGAAGACAGTAAAAAAACAAAATTCTATTATACATATATGTATGAGGATTGTGATGATTGTCAAAGCGAAAATGATTGAAAAAACATTACTTATAAAACTGTTTATTGGCAATCGATTTTTCTAATTCTAATGGAATAATTTATTTGGAAAACCTTATTCCCAGATATACCTAAAACATATTTTGGGTGAGATATTATAGATTTTTATTACGTGGTTATATACTACCTCGCCACGTCTCACTGGCCAACTGTAGACAATGTAATAAGAGCTTGATGTTATTAATTTTTTTGTCAGATAAGCGTAACGCTTGGTACATAGAAATTGGACGCGTCATACATATTTGGATAATTGGTAATCAATAATACATTCTATAGTTCGTAGCCAGTTAATTGAACTAACAATAAGATTAATGCCAGAAATTTTATTCGAAACTAGAAAAATCATGGACCTAAAGGACGGTGCATAAAGTAGACTTCTGGATGCGGGGAGTGATGCTCTGAAGGGAGGGTACGGTATTCCATGTTCAGCCATATTGAGCCGCCAACCAAGTGCTGCTACCTAGGTCATGCCGCGGTAAATATGCTTTAATTTAACTGTAAATTGGATAATAATTTTGTCTCTACGTGTTAAGTTTTATCATCAAGGATATGTTTTATAAAGTCACAAATATTTTTATAAATAATATATATATTTATTTTTATAATAGTATACGTTCGACATTCGTTTCTTGCGCTACCGTTATTTGCACGGAAGCCACGCCCCTTGCTCACACGTATTCCTCACACATGTGTGCGTACCCTACTCTGTCGTCCAGCACACCCAGGCCGGAACATATACGGT